TGACGGGAGCAGCGGACTCCACCCGTGGAATCGAAGACTTGTGCGAGGCCGCGGCGGCGCTGCCCAGGAGCAGCAGGCCGCGGATAGCTGGTGTGCTGGGCGCCGCGCGCCGAAGGCGCGGCGGACGCCAGACGGAGCTGGATGGCGGTCTCGGCCGGTGCCAAGAAGGCGGGGACCGACGCGCTGCGGGCCGCTGGTGCGGACGTCTCGGACGACGACGTCGCGGGGCTCGTCCTGAAGGTGAGATCGACGCTGAACGCAGGGCGGGCCCCTCGTTCGAAGCTGGACGAGACGCGACGGCTGGAGGCAGCGCTGGACCCAGTGGCAGTCCGCCTGGCGTTGGGGAACCCCGAGGTCCCGGGCTCCGAGATGGCCGAGGCCCTCTGGGGGTTCACGGAGGCCGCCACGTTCTCCACGCAGGCGGAGAGTCGGATTAGACGAGTGGCCGCCGACGCTGACGGCTGGGAGAAGGTCGCGGACCGGATCTGGGCCCGTGCAGTCGGCGAGGACGGAGACACGCTGCCCGTCGACTGGGTGCTGCACTTGGGCATCGGCCTCTTCCTGTCCAGCCTGGTGGTGGTGCTGTGGGCCGACTCCGGGCGACACCGCCTGGCGGGCGCTGCAGTGGGGATGTTCGGGACCTTCCTGCTCGTGCGCCGCGTCCCCGAGCGTGCGGTCGCCTGGTGGACGCGCTGGAGGCGGAGGGCGGCCTTCGCCGCAGCGCTCAGCAGCGGCGGGGACGGCCTGGACCTCACTGCCGCCGAGGGCGACAGCGCGGCCTGGGACGCCCCGGGGGCCCCGACGCCCAAGGGGAGCTGCGCGGCGGCCGCGGAGGTACCTACGGGCCCGCTGCACCCGCCTGGGCTCGCGGCGCTGCCGCCTCCCCCGTAGGCCCCACCTGCCGAGGGCGCGGGCGCGGGTGCTGCGACGGCGAAGCCCGGCTCGCAGGACCTGGCGGCGCTGCGGGCGTTCGCCCAGGGGAGCGAGGTGCCAGGCCCTTTCAGCCAGACGGCGGCCCAGCAGCAGCAGCAGCAGCAGCAGCCACAGCTGCCGCCGGAGGTGGCCGTGCCAGCGGCAGGGCTCAGCTTCCATGCGCCTCATGCTCCTGCAGATGCGGTGAAGCTGGGGCGAGAGGTGCAAATGGTAGGGGCCACGCTCCGCGAGTTCCAGGCGCAGGCTGCCACGAACGTGTACTGGGCCTGGCACTTCTGGGAGAGAATCGCGGCCGTGGACGGCTCCCTGGGGCTGCACCCTGACCTGCGACGAGTGCTGCAGACCCACGGCTACGTGGGCGCGGGAACGAAGTCCCCGCCAGGAGGGTCGCTGCAGCAGGAGCTGGACGCGCTGCTCTCCTCTGCCACGGCGCCGCACGGCGGGGGCATGCAGGCCTCCCCTGGGTGGGCCGTGGCCCCGCAGACCCAGCAGCAGCAGGAGGACAGCCGGTGGAACTTGAGCCCCCCGCCGGATCTGAGGCGCGCGGCGCCGGAGATCTACCGCACCATGCGGGGCGCGGGGGCGGCCAGCGCGCGCGACTGGCTGTCGCAGGAGGTGACGGGCCAGCGGTACACGGCGGTCTGGACCGACCTGTGGACCGCCGCCACCAACGTGGACTACTTGCTGGGCGGGTGCAAGACCCAGTCCGAGCTGCTCACCCGCCTGGCGTCCGACGACGCGCTGGAGTTGCACTTGAGGCGGCTGGCCAGCTACGTCTACGAGATGCGGACGAAGGACAAGGTGGGGGCGGCGGCGATGCTGGCTGTTCGCCCGCCCGGATCCCGCCGACTTGGCCCCCACATGGCTGGTGACCGAGGCCACGACCCACAGCAAGGCCGAGCACCAGCGCGACGAGAGGGTCCACGCCGCCAGCAAGCGCGACGGCCGAGGCGGCGGCCGTGGCGGGGGATACGGAGGTGGAGCTGGCAGCGGCGCCGAGGCAGCTGGTGGCGGCAGAGGCAGAGGTGGCGACGGCGGGGGGCGCGGCCGCGGCCGAGGGGGTAAGCCCTCGGGCCGAGGCAAGCCCCAGGCTTGACAGCCACTGGCGGACCGAGGGGCTTACGACCCTCCCTCGGTCCGAGTAGGTGCCCCGCCGCCGCGGGTGCAGCCTAGAATGCCAGTGACGGGTCCGCCTGGCTCGCTGACGCGGGCCCTGCAGTGGAAGGAGGCCGAGGCCAGGTCGTTCTTCCCCGTTCCTCTACCTCATCGGCCACAACAAGGAGCTTCCTCTTCCGGCAGGTTGAGGACGCGCTGGGCTCGACGCGCGCGTGTGCGGCGTCGGGCCTGCGGGCTCATCGAGCTCATGAATGGGATGGACCGCGGATCCCTGGAGGCGAGACCAGCGGGCCAGCGCGAGTCGAGCGACGACGAGATGATGCTGGCCTGGCAGCTCGTGCAGCAGTACGCGCTACAGGACGCGGCGCGGTACGAGCGCGACTGCCGGGGGCTTGCCCCGACAGGCGGTCAAGGGACGGATCTTGCCTGCGACAGAGGACCGCAGGACGCCTACACTGGAGAGCGCAAGGGCGTGAGCAGGCACGTGACGATGTGCGCAGCGGCGGTGGCAGAGCCGCCGGATGACATGGTCGTGGACCTGCTGGAGGCGCTGCCCGACGGCGAGCGCCAGTACTACTCGGACGAGCAGAACGTTCTGGACTACAGCGGCAAGGCAGGGGTCATCTTCGAGGAGCTGGAGGAACGTTTCGCTTTCGTGGGGGGCTCGACGTCCGAGTACGCCCGCTACTTGATGCGGGACGATCTGCCGAAGGACATGTGGACGTTCGAGGCCCCCGGCGACGTCCAGGCCTACTGCGGGTTCAGCTGTGTGCCCAAGAAGGACCCCGCCAAGCAGAGGAAGGTTCTGATGATGTGTGCCAGCAACTACGTGTGGGCCGACCCGCACCAGCGGGGGGACCACGGGATGCACGGCGGGGCGGCCATCGCCTCCATATGCGCCCCGACGGATGAGTGGGGCGTGGCGGCGTTCGACGAGGACAACGCCTTCACCCGCCTCCGCGTCCCCGCGTGGACGGCCAAGTGGCAGGCATGCCCGCCGATCCGAGCCTGCTGGGCGTGGGCGAAGCTCAGCCAGCGCCTGCGCGACATGGTGGGGCCGACGGGCTGGATAGCCCCCTGCTACCATCGCCTGGCCATGGGCGGCTCGCACTCCGTGCACCTGCTCATGACGGTCAACATGGCGATCATCGGCAGGGCGCTGCTGGGCGTGGGCGCACGCTTGGGGGCGCTTGCGGGCGCCGCGGCACCCGCCGACGGCGCTGCCAGCGGTGTGCCACGCACCTCGTCGCCCGAGGACGGGGGGCTGGAGGATGGCGACGGCGTGGATGCCGGTCCTGAGGACGCTCAGCAGCATCGCTACGACGACGACTGGCTCGGGCAGCAGTCCAGCTGCCGCGCCGCGCCGCCTAGCCCGGCGGGCTACAGCGCGGCAGATTGGATAGAGGCCGTGAAGCGGGCGAAGAGGGAGGACGAGCGCGTGATGGTTGTGATGCATCTCTTCGCTGGCCGTCGGCGGCGTGGTGACGTTCAGGAGGTGGTCGAGAGGCTGGCGAAGGAGCGGAGCTTGAGGGTGCTCTTCCTTTCCGCCGATCTCCTGGACGACCCGCGGTGGGACCTGGCCAACCCCTCCACTTTCTCCGCCTTGATGGAGCTGTGCGAGGGCGGCTGGGTGGACATCGTGCTGGGCGGCCCGCCCTGCTCGACCTGGTCGCGGGCACGCTACAATCGTCGCCGACCTGGGCCGCCGCCGGTGCGATCGCGGCTGCGCCCCTGGGGTCTGCCAGGCCTCAGGGCCTGGGAGGCCGCGAGAGTCGCGGAGAGTAACACCCTGACGCTGAACTTGTTGGCGCTCTGCGAGGCGTGCGGCCAGAGTGGCGGCGCCTTCCTCATCGAGCACCCGGAGGACCCAGTGCACGCGCCCTACCCATCCATCTGGAACACGAATGAGATGCTGGACTTCGAGACGAGGCGCTCGTCGCGGAGAGCGCGCTTGGACCAGTGCATGCTGGGCGGCCGGACGAAGAAGCCCACATGCCTGAGCGGCACGCTGCAGGGGCTGGAGAACCTGAATGAGCTGCGGCGTGACGGGCCCCATGCCCACGAGTCGGCCGAGGGCAAGTTGGCCGACGGCACCTTCCGCACGAGCCCGCTGGCCCAGTACCCCGAGGGGATGTGCGAGTCGCTGGGGCTCTTGATTGTCCAGACCCTGGCCATCTTCGAGCAGACCGGCTTGGGCGGCACCGGGCGGCGAAGGCCGCCAGAGGCCGACAGGGCGGTCACCGCTTGGAGCTCGCGGAGCACTACGACACCAGCGGTGGCCGTGCGGAACGAGGACGTGCTTCGCGGCCGTGGGCTGGTCCTGGACGGGCCGCAGATGGCCTTCTACCTGCACGTCGACGACGGCGTGGTGATGGCAGGGGGCAGCGGCTGTGGCCCACGGGCCACTGGGAAGATGCACCAGCTGGCGGACGCCTTGGCCGAGGCCGGCTTCGTGGTCACCGACCGCACGGAGGCCAGCGACATGCAGAAGGTGCTTGGCTACGCACCTCAGGCGCGTCCAGCGCAGCTTCGCTTGCCTCCGAAGAGGGCACGGGAGCTGGTGCAGCAGCTGGAGGCGATGGGCGCCACCCGCACCCTCCACACCGAGGAGCTGCGCTCGCTCTTGGGGGTGTGGATTTGGGGCGCTCTACTACGGCGGGAGCTGCTCTGCATACCCAGCGCCGTCTTCAGGCTCCTGGAGAGGTACCCGCACCAGCGGGTGAGCACCTGGGCGACCGTCCGCAGGGAGCTGCGGGCCATGGCTAAGGTAGTCCCGCTGATGTACGCTGACCTGGGAGCCCCGCCAGCCCCCGTGTATTTCGCGGCGGACGCCATGGGCGCCAACGTGGAGGACGACGGCGGCTGGGGCATCCTGGTGACCGACATGGACGAGGACATCGCGAAGGACTTCATCGACACGGGCGGCAACCTGGGCTACACCGTGGCAAGGCTGGACGGCGAGCTCACAGGATTGCGGCGCCCCGAGCAGGTCATCAGACGGACGAAGCCGTTCAGCCTCCTGCCCGATCGCGTGTTCAAGCCCGACGAGGACTGGACGATCGTAGGAGCGGGCAGGTGGCGGACGGCCGACCACATCACGCTGGGCGAGGGGCGCTGCGTCGTGAAGATCAGCAGGCTGGCGGCCGCCACTCCTGCCCTTCACCGCACCGTGCTGCCGATCCTGGAGGACAACCAGCCAGTCTCAGGTGCGGCATGCAAGGGCAGGTCCCCGGCGCACCTTTTGAACCACCTGTTGCGTCAGAAGACCGCAGCAGGGATGGCATCTCGCACAAAGATTTTGATTCCATGGGTGGAGACGCTCAGGCAGCCTGCTGATAAGATATCGAGGTGCCTGACTCGTGCTGAACTCCGCGGCCTACCTCATGTCGGGGCCGAGGAAGCTGGACAGCACTTCTGTTGAGAAGGTTAAGCCGCACACCCTGGCGGCCTACAGGGCGGCGGCTATGAAGTTCGTGACCTACCTGGACGAGCACGGCTTCGTCCCCGACGGGCCCGAGCAGTGGGACGACCTGCTTGTCGAGTACAAGAACGACATGCAGATGACCAAGTGCAATTTTGAGTACGCCGTCGCGGCGGTGGAGTTTGTCTTCCCACGCCTGAGGAGGAAGCTGACGCGGCCCCACTCGGTGATCGATGCATGGCGAGTGTCGGCCGAGGTGAAGCACACGCCGCCACTTGGCCGCGCGCCGGCTAACCTGGCCGCCATCTATTTCTCCTGCTGGGGCGCGCCGCGGCTGGGCATAGGCCAGCTGCTGCAGGTGGACCGCGGCCTGCGCCCATCGGAGATGCTTCAGCTCAGAGCAAAAGACAAATCCTTGCCATCGTCTAGAGGGGGACCAGACCTGCAGCCAAATTGGGTAATCAACCTGGGGGCCAAGTCGGGGACAAAGGCAAAACGGATGCAGTTCGCCATTATTTTGGAGCAGGGCGGAGTACTGGAGAACCTCTTACACCGAGTAGTCTTGGGAACGCCGCCCGAGGGGCTCCTCTTTCCCGATTCGCTCGTCGACTACAGGCATCGGCTCAAGCAGTTTGAAGCCGCCTTGGGCCTCGACATTCACTGGACGCCTCACTCGGCGCGCGCAGGGTTCGCCAGCGATTCCGTGGCTCGTGGCATCCCCTTCCAGGACATCAAGGAGGCAGGGCGGTGGCTCACAGAGTCCAGCCTCCGCATCTACGTGGACGTTGTCACCGCCTCCCGGGCCCTGGCACAGGCTGAGCAGCGAGGGATCGCCCCGCTCATCCGCGAGGCGGCCGAGAAGCTGCCCAACTACTTCCCGGAGGGCATCTTCGGCGAGGGCGAGGGCATCCAGCATGCCGCCAGCGGGCTGGCGCAAGGGCCAGGACGGCGCCTGGGTGCCGCCTGCGGAGGGAGCCCCTCCAGCGCCGCTGGCGGGGGGCCGCCGAGCGGCCTCGCCAGCGCCCCGGGCAGCGCCAGCCCAGCCACCTGCGCCAGCACTGGGCGCACTGGTAGATGGGCTGCTGGCGGGTCCGCAGCAGCCGGGGGATGCAGCGGCGGGCGCGGGCGCGGTCGAGGCCGAGGCGCCAGCGCCAGCGGCCCCTGGCGTGGCAGCACTGAGGCCCCCGCAGCCGCTGGCGGCCCAGCCGCTGGCAACGGGCGCGGCCGCGGGGCAGAGGCGCGCGCGCTGGAGCAGCTGGGCGCTGCTACGCGCGGCCTGGCTCATCGCAAGGTGGTGCGGACGCTCAACCTCGCGAGGAGTGACGTGGGCGGCGGTCGCCGCGATACTGATCGGGCGGCGCTACGTTGCCGGGCCGCTCGCCCACCTCGGGACCATGATGGGCGTCGTGGCCAGCGTATCCGTCTCGGCTGGCCAGGTGGTCGACAGCAGCCTCGGGGCGGTCATCACGGCGGCACAAGGAGTGTCCGACTTCGCCGTGACGTCGCCCCGCAGCTCGGCGAGCCTCCTGCAGGAGGCCTGGCGCGGGGTGGACATCACCGACCTTCACGTCCGCCAGCGCCACGCCGAGCGGCTTGCGGACGACCCCGAGATCCTGCAAGCCTGGATCCAGCGCGAGGTTCCTGACAGGCGAGCCCCGCCCGCCTGGGGCCGAGCAGGTCGCCACCGCGATCTCTGAGGCTTCGGTGACCATACCTCACATGGCAGAGAGATGGCAGATGCTGATCTGGCCTGGCCAATACCGCGAGCTGCACATGACGCTCGATCTACTACCGTCCGGGTTCTACGGAGTCCATATGGTCGAGAGAACCGTCAATTTCACGGTCCAGTGGAGCAACCCAGTGTGGAGTAGCCTCGACTGCGACATCAGTTCAGAAAGGGATACAGTCGTGGCTCATATCAACTCCACCCTGGCAGGGCTCCCGCTTCCCGAGATCCGCTATATGTCCATGAGTGATCGTGAAATCCAAGTTGCTAGGCTCCCAGGCGCCTGGATCAACATGGCCCGTAGGCTCGTGCGTGCTGTATATATGGCAGTAAAGAGTGTACTGCAGCTCTATTGGTCGGAGTCTAGGGGGGTCACCGAAGATATGACTCTTCTGGAGCACACTGCGAGGGCGGGCCTGGGGGCTTGCTTTCGGTTTTGATTGTGTTCCAGGTTCCTTCTCAACTCATTCAAGGTCCGAGCACATTTTGTGCCCCGGGTGAAGGACCAAGCTGTTGAGACACATACAGCTCGCAAGCGGAGGTGGGTAGAGCTCGGCGGCAAACCTGTAGTTAGCAAGCCAAGCAGCAATTTTATTGTACTTCTCGCCTCCTCAGCAAAACATTCCAGGGGTGGGTCGAAACGGACACCATCATGGGATAATAATCGTAGAGCATGAGTGTTGATGTGCACCGACAGTTTGGGGTGGGATCGTGGAATTTTCCTTGGAGCCTCGGAGCCCGCAGGGGCGTGCCAGCTTGTTGGGGGGCCTTTTCGCCGGTGGGCCACGTTCCCGGCCTGGCTCCCCTCGGCCCTCCAAAACGGGTGGGCTCGGTAGGTTGTGTTTTGGTTGCCCGTGAAGGCCCCCCTGCCCTCGCGTGTGCTGCACGGCCTGCTCCGCAACCGTATCATTTGGCTCCAATCTGGTACAGATTATCGCGACCCCCCCGCCGTCCCCCGCCGAGCCAGAGCTCGGCGGCAAACCTGTAGTTAGCAAGCCAAGCAGCAATTTTATTGTACTTCTCGCCTCCTCAGCAAAACATTCCAGGGGTGGGTCGAAACGGACACCATCATGATCATGATCATCATAATCGTCATCATCATCACCATCAGCATCGTCACCAGCACCATCATCACCATCACCACCACCACCACCACCATCATCATCATCATCATCATCATCATCATCATCATCATCATCATCACCATTATCATCATCAGCAGCAGCATCATCAACATCAGCATCATCATCATCATCATCATCATCATCATCATCATCATCATCATCATCATCATCATCATCATCATCATCGCCATCATCATCATCATCGTCATTATCATCATCATCATCATCATCAGCATCAGCATCGTCATCATCAGCAACTGCAGCAGCATCAGCATCATCATCATGAGCTGCAGCATCAGCATCAGCATCAGCATCAGCATTATCATCAGCATTATCATCATCAGCATCATCATCAGCATCATCATCAGTAGCAGCATCATGATCATCAGCAGCAGCAGCATCGACATCAGCATCAGCATCAGCATCGTCGTCATCATCATGAGCATCCTCATGATCATAATCATCATCATCAGCAGCATCAGCATGATCATCATCATCATCATCAGCATCATCATCATCATCGTCATCGTCGTGATCATCATCAGCATCATTATCATCGTACCCATGATAATCAGAATCTTCATCAATATCATCATCATCATCATCATCATCATCATCATCATCATCTCCACCACCACTCTCGCCGTCACCGTGACCACCATTATCGCCGTCACCGTGACCGTCATCGCCACCGTCACACCAGCACCGCCGCCACCGCAATCACAGTCACCACCGTCATCATCGTCATCAGCATCATCATCAGCATCATCATCATACCCACCATCATCATCATCATCATCATCATCATCATCATCAGCATCATTATCATCATCTCCATCATCCTCATGATCAGAATCATCATAATCATCGTCATCATCGTCATCATCCTCATCCTCGTCCTCATCATCATCATCATCATCATCATCATCATCATCATCATCATCATCATCATCATCATCATCATCATCATCATCATCATCGTTAGCAGCATCATCATCAGCAGCAGCATCATAATCATCACTACCACCACCATCATCATCAGCATCATCAGCATCGGCATCATCTTAATCATGATCATCAGCATCATCAGCATCATCATCATGAGCTGCAGCATCAGCATCAGCATCAGCATCATCATCAGCACCATCAGCATCAGCATCATCATCATCAGCATCATCATCAGCATCATCATCATCATCATCAGCATCATCATCACCATCGTCCGCTGCCTCATCCCCATCATCATCCCCCCAAGGCGGCGCACTGGGCTGCAAGTCTCGCGACGATGCCCATCTTCTGCCTGGCGCGCGGCCGCCGGCGCTGCCTGCACCGTCGCCCGCCCCGGCCTCCCCGACCTCCCCAGCGCTCTCGCGTCCATCCGCCTGTTAAAAAGAAGGAGGAGGCTCCTCCTCTTCCACATCCTCGTCCTCCTCTTCACCATCACCATCACCACCACCATTACCATTACCATCACCATCATCATCATCATCATCAACAACAACAACAACAAAACTATCACCGCCAACACTACCACCACCACCACCACCACCATCATCATCCCAGCATCATCATCATCATCATCATCATCATCATCATCATCATCATCATCATCATCATCATCATCATCATCATCATCGTCGTCATCTTCGTCATCATCATCAGCAGCATACAGCATAATCATCATCAGCAGCATCATCATCGTCGTAATCGTCGTCGTCATCGTCATCATCATCAGCATCAGCATTATTATAATCCTCCTCATCATCATCATCGTCATCATTATCATCATCATCATTATCATCATCATCATCATCATCATCATCATCATCATCATCATCATCATCATCATCGTCATCTTCATGATCATCATCATCCTCCTCACGATCAGCATCAACCGCATCATCATACTCGTCATCACCATCATCACAATCCTCATCATCATCAGCAGCATCATCATCAGCATCAGCATCAGCGTCATCATCATCATCATCATTATCATCATCTTCATCCTCGTCATCATCCTCCTCGTCTTCCTCGTCCCCCTCCTTATCATTACCATGACCACCGCCATCAGCATCATCATCAGCACCATCATCATGATCAACAGCATCATCGTCATCGGCATCATCAGTATTATCATCATCAGCAGCATCATCAGCATCGTCAGAATCATCATCATCATTATCATCATCATCATCATCATCATCATCATCACGACCACCACCACCATCATCACCACTACCACCATCGTCATCATATGCTTAGCATCATCATCATCACCAGCAGCATCATCAGCATCATCAGCATCATCATCATCATGAGCATCATTATCATCAGCATCAGCATCATCGTCATCATCAGCATCATCGTCAGCATCAGCATCATCAGCGTCATCATCATCAACAACAACTTCATCATCTTCACCATCACCATCTATCAGCAACACGGTCAAGTTCATCGTCATCGCCATCACCGTCCTCATCAGCTCCATCCTCGCTATCTCCCTCATCACCATCTTTGTCCCCCTCATCGTCACCACCACCACCACCAACACCAGCAACACCGCCGTCCTCGTCCTCAACGTCGACGTCGTCGACGTCATCCTTGGGCGGCGGGCCAGGAAGAAGGAGGTCGGGGCAAGCGGACGGCAGGCCCCCACGAGGAGGCGGAGCCCGGGGGGGCGGGGCTGTCCCCCCGAGCAGGGCGAGCGGACGCCCCCGAGAAGGCCTCTCGTCGGCGGCGCGCCCAGGGGGCACACCTCCGCTTGGACGCGGAAGGGCGCAATCGTACCATGCGTCCCCCTTTCGGGAGCGGCGAAGAGGGGGGTGTCCAAGAGGGGGGGGGTGCAAATCATGACCGGCGGCATGTGCGCGGCCCAGCGGGGGGGCCAGGGGCGCAATGAAGCAAGAAGAGGCGCCATGAAATCTGGGGAAATCCGCCGGCCCCCTTGTGGGGCCAGCAGGCTGTAGGCCGAAGGTTCGCAGTTTCCTGTACCAGTTGCAGCTTCCAGTTTCCACTGTTCACAGTTCTGCTTCTTGCTGCTTACTGTTCCTTGTTGATGGACCGCGCGAGGTGGAGGAGGCCCAAACAGGCAGGTTTAGCACCCCCTGAGCGTGTGCTCTGAGTTGCTGGGGTGGGTAAAAATAAACGCCCCTCACGCAGATCGGCGGGGTCAGGGTCCAAAAACACCAAGGATTTGCCACATTTCTGAAATTCGGCGGCACCCCTCACGCAGATCGGCGGGGTCAGGGTCCAGAAACACAAGGAATGTGCCACATTCCTGACATTCGGTGGCACCCCTCACACAGATCGGCGGCGTCAGGGCGCAAAAACACATGGGATTTGCCACATTTCTGAAATTCGGCGGCCCCCCTCACGCAGATCGGCGGGGTCAGGGTCCAAAAACACACCGGATTTGCTACATTTCTGAAATTCGGTGGCACCCCTCACGCAGATCGGCGGGGTCAGAAAATATATGGGATTTACCACATTTCTCAAATTCGGTGGCACCCCTCAAACAGATCGGCGGGGTCAGGGCCCGAAAACCCAAGGGATTCTCAACATTTCTCAAATTCGGTGGCACCCCTCACGCGGATCGACAGGGTCAGGGTCCAAAAACACAAGGGATTTGCCACATTTCTGAAATTCGGCGGCACCCCTCATGCAGATCCGTAGGGTCAGGGTCCAAAAACACAAGGAACTTACCACATTTCTGAAATTCGGTGGCACCCCTCACGCAGATCCGTAGGGTCAGGGTCGAAAAACAAACAGGTCCCGACACTGCTTCACGGCGGCGCCCAGACCTCATGATTTAGCTGTTGCATCTCCCATTACCCGAGACAGGGGGCCGGCGGCTTGGGGCGAAGCCCTTACGGATATCATGGCCCCCGCCATGGTATCCCTCCCTCCCCCAGTCATCACCCCCCCCTCTTTGCCGCCCCCCCTAGTCATCACCCCCTAGTCATCACCCCCCCTAGTAAGCACCCCCTAGTCATCACCCCCTATCCACCCCCCCCTGGTCATCACCCACCCCTGGTCATCACCCCCCCTAGTCATCATCCCCCCCCCCTAGTCATCACACACACCCCTAGTCATCACCCCCCCCCTCTTCGCCGCCCCCGATTCTACGCGTCCCCCCCTGGAGGCGCCCGTCCGAAGCGGGCACGCGGCACAGAAATCT